ACCGGAGGTGCCACGCTCCGGCATGAGATTCCCGAGGCCGTGGTGACCTACGAGGAGAAGCCGAGGGAGCAGTGGATCTTCGACTACCCAGCCCAGGTCGGCCGTGTCGGGGAGGGGCTGGCGGCCCCGGGTCCCCGCAGAGGCCACTCACTGGGCGGGTGGGCGGCCTGGCTGCTTCCAGGTGGCGCTCACGTGCACGCAGATCTGGTGGACCACGGAGGTGGGCTTGGCGTTCGCACGGCTGGAGGAAGGCTACGAGAACGCGATCAAAGACTACAACAAGAAGCAGGTGTGTGGCCCGGGGGCCACCCGGAACAGCCCGGGTCACGCCGGGGGCCACCGTTTCCGCCGGCCCGAAGCCTCAGACCCCGGCAACCCCCACAGTCCCAATTGGGAGGGTCCACCTCACAAATACGGAACTTTAACTTCTTATCTGGAAATCATCAAGTGCTACCGCGAGCCTTTTTATAAAAAAAAGATTCCTGGTTAGAAATTTAGGAACTAAAAATTATGTTTAAGTGGAAGAAGAAGCTGCCTATCCCGTTACCAGATATAACACCGTCGACATATTCTCATGTGACTATTATTCCAATAATATTTAACGTGTGTAATGTATACTGACTACATAATATCATGAATGTCACATAAAATATTACATACACTGAGTATACGTGACAGAATAGCATTCTAATTTTTTTGTGTGCACCTAACGGACTCATATATAAAAATGTACGAGCTGCCTGATGGCTTTAAAATCCCCTTTTTACTTAACACTCCGTCCTCCCCGTGGCACTCGGTTTTCTGCTGCTGCGTCGTTTTGTGGTTCAGCGGTACCGTGGGAGGCGGCCGTCCCAAGGCTTACCCGACCCCCAGCTGGGGGCTGCCGAGAACTTCCTTCTGTGTTTGATGATCGTGAGCAAGGATGCGATGAGCTCCCAGGGACCCACACGGTCCGGGGAACGCCCCCCCGTGAGTGTCAGGCACCCCGAGGCGTCCCAGCGAAGGGCCTTTGCTCCTGCAGATCGGCCAGCTGAACGCCCTGATCACCCTGCTCATCGGGAACCTCAGCGCCGGCGACAGGATGAAGGTTATGACCATCTGCACCATCGACGTACACGCACGAGACGTGGTGGCCAAAATGATCATGGCCAAGGCACGAGCTTTTGCGGGGGGTGCCGGGAACCTGGTGCAGGGACTCCAGCCCCCGACGGTGCCTCTTCCCGGGGGGTGGGGGGACTCCCTGGCAGCACCCTCCCCTCACCCCTGCACTGGAGGAGGACCGGAGGGCCGGGAGCACCCCCCGGCGGTCAGGGACGGGCCTGGGGACAAGCGGCCTCTGAGGCTCCGGTCCCGTGCAGGTGGAGAGCTCGCAGGCCTTTACCTGGCAGTCCCAGCTCCGGCACCGCTGGGACGAAGAGAGGAAGCATTGCTTTGCCAACATCTGCGACGCCCAGATCCAGTATTCCTACGAGTACCTGGGCAACACGCCGCGGCTGGTCATCACCCCGCTCACCGACAGGTGAGGACGCGCCGGCCGCCTCTGTCCGGGGCTTGCCAGGCCTGTCCCCGAATGACTCAGGAGAGGACATCACATGCTCCCCACGGGCTCTTCCCCGCGACTCTCAGAATCATCGCCCCAAGTGTCCTGCTGAGGCTGACAGAACTGGGCGTTTGGGTCAGAGGGGGCCCGTGTGCAGGGTCGGTCCTGCCGCCTGCCTGCCAGGCGCCCAGCCCTGGGGACCGTGTTATTCCGTCACTCGGCCCCTAGCTGTGTGGCCGAGGATAACGTCTCACGACCCTCACGAACTATTCAACAATGAAAAGCACCCAGACCCGTGCTGCTCGGAGTGACCCTCGGTGGACGTGAGGGGACGTTAACCACTGTTAGCAATGGGTCGGCGGCGCCCGCCTCCCCAGAGCCCTCTGTCACCCCGCTGGCGCTCCTCAGTCACCTCCGGACCGCCCCTGCCTGCGGGCACAGCGGGTGTGGTTGGAGTGGTGTTGGAAGGACGCTGGACTTAATCGGACGCCCGTTGCAGGTGCTACATAACCTTGACCCAGTCCCTCCACTTGATCATGGGCGGAGCCCCCGCTGGCCCCGCGGGGACCGGCAAGACAGAGACGACCAAGGACCTGGGCCGGGCCCTGGGCACCATGGTGTACGTCTTCAACTGCTCTGAGCAGATGGACTACAAGGTACACAGCCAGGCCCGCGGCGGCCGAGCGGGGGAGCAAACACAGCCCCCGCCCCAGGAGGCTGCAGCCCCCACGGCCCTGCGGCCCCCAGGGTCCAGCCCACGGACAGGTCAACGGCTGAGCCCCTGCTGGCGGCCTTGGCCCTCCTGGAAGGCCAGGCCCTCCTGAGCAGGCGGGCATGTCTGGGAGAGGCTCCCCGAGTGGACAGCTGCAGCCCCAGAGGCCTGCCCTGCCCATGGAGGTGGCCCCACCCTACCAGGCTTCCAAACTTCCCAGCACTAGGGACTCCAGACGGAGCGGGCGCCTCTGCCATGTGTCGGGGGGCTGCTGGGTGAAATGTCCAGGCGGCCTTGAGAGGGGAGCAGGGGGTCCCAGCGGTGGCCGGAGACGTGCAGGACATTGTCAGTCCTCCAAGTCCCCAGGAGAGGGGACACTCTCCGGGTCCAAGCCTAAGAGCCTCTGGCGGGAGGGCCGGGGGTGGGCGCCAGGGTGAGGAGCCTGGCCTACAGGGGGCCTGCCCTCCCCATTCGTGTCCGGTGTCTGAGCCCACAGTCAGGGGACCCCTGCTGAGGTTGGGGAGGGGCCAGCTCCGCTCCTGGCTGTTCAGGCCCCGGCCTGCACCAGCTCCTGGGTCTCAGTAAAGGGAGACCTGAGGCTGCTCCCCTAAGAGTTAAGTATTCCCCAGGGGTCTGCACGCAAATGTGGGGGAGTCCTCCTGTGACTCAGCTGCCAAGGGGGTGCTCCCCACCCCCACCTTCCAGGAAAGCCCCGTCTTCGTGTGCTAGGAGAAACACAAGGACTGCATTTTAAACAAACGCTCTCATCCGAGCATCCAGTTCGGGGAGCTGGGCAAAGCCCCCATCCCAGGGGGGTCTGGGTGCAAGTCCCCCAGGGAGATGGGCTCTTCCTGGCACCCAGCCCAGTGCGGTTCTAACCCCTTCTGGGGAGCGGGCCGTCCTGCCGGCCAGCCTCCCCAGGTCCCCAGCTGTGACAGGACCGTGAGGGCAGCTGGAGGGGCGGGCGGGGCTCCTGGTGGCGCTCGGCCGGCCAGCTCGTGGCCTCTTCCTGTCCCCATCTGTCCCGTCCGCTCTCGCCCACCCCTTCCAGTCCTGCGGAAACATCTACAAGGGCCTGGCCCAGACGGGAGCCTGGGGCTGCTTCGACGAGTTCAACCGGATATCCGTGGAAGTCTTGTCCGTGATCGCCGTGCAGGTCGGGCCCCCGGGGCTCTGGGGCAGTGCGGGGTCTCACTGCTTTGCGGGCGTGGGCCGTCTGCCCCGGTAGTCCGTTCGGCCCGACTGAGGGGCACAGAGATGAGCGAGACCCAGCCCTGTCCTCGAGGGCCCCGCGCTCTGGGGGGCTGAGGGAAGGGAAAAGTGTGAGGATCAGGCACAGCGGGTGACGAGGGGTGATGAGGACAGAGGGCCTCGTGTAGCTGTCCACGGCGCTGGGCACCGAAGGCTGCGCAGGGAGTTATCAGACAAGGGCGTTGGGAGGGGACGGGAAGAAGAGGGAGGTGTGCCCTGCCTTTTGGGGAACACCCAGGCCCGGTGCGCAGGACACGTGCGGGGGAGGCCGGGACGCAGGGAGCCGGCCGCAGTGGGGCCAGCGCTGTGCCCGTGTCAGCCCGGCCCTGTGGGCCCCGCCCCGCGTGTTTGGAGGAGCCCCCTGCCACCCCGAGAACCGCTGGGCTCTCCCGAGGTCCAAATCAACTTTGATGTTCCAAAAGCCCCTGGCAGTAAGGACAGTGACAGGCAGGAGACACAGGCTTCCCGCAGCCGGAGCCTCTGGACCACACGCGAGGCGAGGTGGTGGCCGGGGCTGGACAGCCCCTCCGGTCACACGGGCCATGGGAGGAGCAGGGGGCGTGGACGCGGTGCAACCAGCCCAGGCTGCTCAGACCCACACCCCGGGGATGCAGCCCGGGTTAGACTGACCGACCCGATGCCCTGAGCGTGCGCTCGGCGGTGATCTAAACTCTCCAGCTGTAAGACGGGTTTGAGGACCCGGATCAGCTGGCAGATCGGGGCGAAAGCAGGCAGCCGGCCCCTCCACTTCTCTCACCCCGGACCTGCAGGCCGTGCTGGCCACGGCCTTGGGGACCCCACCCCCACTGCGCCAGCAGAGTGCCTGGCCCCCACAAGCAGGGAACGGCCCCCGGAATCCTTGCATAGAGCCTGTTTCAGACGCTGTTTGCTGACTGGATGGGAGCAGCAGCGACGTGCAGGCGAGGCTTCACATGGGGCGGGGCAGCGGGGAATGCTAGGGGTCCAGGCCCCAGCCGGGAGCCCTGCCTGCGGGAGTGTGAGCTGGCTGCAGGATGTTCCCCGGAGGCCTGGAAGGCAGGCCTGTGAGAGGTTTTAACCGTGAACGTGGGGCGCCCTCCCGTGGTAGCTTGGAAGTTTGCAGCCGCCGCAGCAGGCCCTAATGATCCCTGAAATTCAGATGTGGCCGAGTCCCACTTCCTTAAAGACCGTATGACGTGGGGCTGGCCGTAATCAGTCCTGCCAGGGGTCACTGCCGGAGCGGGAAAAGGGCGCGTATCAAGGCTAGGCGGTAGCACTTCACACGGTGACGCAGCAGTAGCCTGGGGGGACCTCCAGGGCACGAGGCCGGTGACGAAAGCCCATCTCAGGCGACCTGTTTTACGATGCGCTTAGAGCTGATGACGTGACAGCATTACAGACCCGGGTTGCATGGGTCTCGGAGAGGCTGGGGGCGGGAGGGAGGGGCAGGAGGGGCCCTCGCAGTGACGGACACATCCTGGCTGCGTGAGGTGGTCCCCTGGGGGTCACCGGGGGTGGGGGGCCCACGGGGTCTCCTTGGCATTCTCACAGCTACGCATGAATCCGTAACTGTATCTCAATTTAAAAAACGTAAAAGGCCAGGTGCATCCGCTGCACGCCATAGCCACACGCTGTGACGCGGCGAAGCTGGCGGCTGCCACGCTAACGCATCCCCATACCGGCTGCCCAGGTGAAGTGTGTCCAGGACGCCATTCGGGCCAAGAAGAAGACGTTCAACTTCCTGGGGGAGATGATAAGCCTCATTCCGACCGTCGGCATCTTTATCACCATGAACCCCGGGTACGCGGGGCGCACGGAGCTGCCCGAGAACCTAAAGGCCCTGTTCAGGTGCGTGGCCTGGAGGGCGAGGACGCTGGGCAGGGGCAGAGCCGGCAGGGCCGGGGCAGGACACCTGGTGCAGCGAAGGCTCCCCACGTAGACGGGACCAGCAGGCCGGGGCCCCCCCGAAGCGCAGACACTTCTTCCTGTCCTGCCTTTCTGGTCCCCGCTGGAGGCACAGCCTGCCCACTGGTGCAAGGCAGTGGGAGGCAGGGTCCAGGGGAGCAAATGTGGGGCCTGGAGGCACCTTGTGGAGGCCGGAGAGAGATGGGAGGCAGGGGCAGGGGCGGGGGGAAGAGGGAGCTTGGACCCCAGCTCCGGCCCCAGGATCGAGAGCCCTGGTCCTCGGGGCAGGTGAGGTGCGCAGACGAGCAGAACACCTGGGCAGGGACAGGCAGGTAGGGCGTGGGCGAGGAGGGAGAGAAGCCAAGGTGGACCCCGCCGGCCTTCCAGGCCCTGCGCTATGGTCGTGCCTGACTTTGAACTGATCTGCGAGATCATGCTGGTGGCCGAGGGCTTCCTGGACGCCCGCCTTCTGGCCAGGAAGTTCATCACACTCTACACCTTGTGCAAAGAGCTGCTCTCCAAGCAGGTGTGTGGTGGCGCCCTCCCGGGCCCCCGAGGCCGGGGCGTGTGGGGGCTGAAACGCAGGCGGCCCAGGCCGCCTCCCCCCCAACCCGGGGAGCTGGCGGCCTCCCGGGCCCCCAAGGCCGGGGCGTGTGGGGGCTGAAACGCAGGCAGCCCAGGCCGCCTCCCCCCAACCCGGGGAAGGCTGCACACGTGCCGGCAAGGCTGCCAGCCTCGGTCCCCGCCCTGCTCGGGTGCCGGCAGCTCCAGCCAGCCAGCTGGCCAGCGTGGGAAGGCACGCTCACACCGGGCGCGCGCCCTCCGCCCGCAGGATCATTATGACTGGGGCCTGCGGGCCATCAAGTCTGTGCTGGTGGTGGCCGGCTCCCTGAAGAGAGGCGACCCCAGCCGGGCAGAGGACCAGGTGCTCATGAGGGCCCTGAGGGACTTCAACATCCCCAAGATCGTGACCGACGACCTGCCCGTGTTCATGGGGCTGATTGGGGACCTCTTCCCGGCCTTGGATGTGCCTCGGAAACGGGACCTGAACTTTGAAAAGGTAGGAACGGCTGGGCCTGGGTCCAGCCCAGGGGCCCAGCACACCTGCCGTATGTCAGGCTGGTACCCAGGTGGCAGGCACAGTGCCGGGGTGGGTGGCCCCATCTGCCAGTTCGTGACGGTCACACACACACGCGGCCGGCTCCCTCTGCCACGAGGAACCCCCCGAGGCTGCCAGCTGCCTCTCCGGCCCTGGCAAGCCCTCTCTCAATGCTGGGGCGTCTCGAGAAGAACTGAGGGGCTTCGGGCAAACCCATGGAGGTCTTGGCGGCGTCCGTGGCAGAAGCTGGAACCACATCCACCCTGGAGAAGGGACATTGCTCCCCGGCAGCATCTCCCGCTGGACAGCGGGCTCCCCCGCCCAGAAGCACCGCCTGGTCCTTGCGCCCAGGCCCAGCGCCCCAACCTGTGTGCGCCCCTCCCCCAGATCATCAAGCAGAGCATCCTGGAGCTCAGGCTGCAGGCGGAGGACAGCTTCGTGCTGAAGGTGGTGCAGCTGGAGGAACTGCTGCACGTGCGCCACTCGGTGTTCGTCATCGGGAACGCGGGCAGCGGCAAGTCCCAGGCACGTGCCCGCCGCGCCCGCCTCCCCGCCTACCCCCCGCCACAGCGCTGCAGGGCTGCTGACAGGTCGCCCTCAGTCACCTCCCCAGGCCTGGGGGACCTCATCCCATTGCATCCCAGGAGGCCCCCCAACAGGAAACGTGTCCCGAGCCGAGAAGGGAAACTGTGATGCGGGGGACGGTGGCGGGGGAGGCGAGAAGCAGCCACAGGGCCCTGGTCCCACCGATGGGGCCTCCTCCCGGCTCGCCTGCCTCCTGGGGACAGCCCCGCCCCACCTTCCAGTGTGCTGCCCCCGCCTGGGGCATGGCGAGAGCAGGGGCTGGGGGCCCGTGTCGCTAATACCTCAGCAAACTCTGGGAAACTCACACGCAGTCGTCCCCAACCCCTGGGCCGTGGGCCGGTACCCAGTGTGTGGCCTGTTAGGAGCCGGGCCGCACAGCAGGAGGTGAGTGGCAGGTAGGTGAGCGAAGCTTTATCTGTGTCTGCGGCTGCTCATCACCGCCTCAGCTCCGCCTCAGATCATCGGGCAGTGACTCCCATAGGAGCACCAGTCCCTGGTGCCACAGAGGCTGGGGACCGCTGCTCTAAAGCAGCCAGGTGTTCAGCTAGATGCCCACAGGATGGGTCGTCACCCCCTTACTAAAGACGAGTTCCAAAGGCTGGCAGCGTGGGGGACGCTCACAGCAAACTGTTTTCGAGAAGGCAGGAACTGTCTGCACCCCACTTACCAAAAAGGAACATGCCCATCTACACACGCGAAATAGCCTCGGGTGTCCTCAGAACTCCGCTCTGGGTGGACCAGTGACGGACTGTCTTGCCCGTGGGCGTGCATCGCTTTCACTCTGGGGAAACTAAGTGAATCTCTCCTGATCCCGGCCTGGGCCCGAGGCCAGCAGCTCTCTGCTGTCTGCGGAAAGGAACAATTTCAGTGCGTTTGCCGTCCCCCGGCTCCTTGTTTGGGGGACACAGACTCACCAGTATGTCACTAGAGCAGAACGGGTCCAGGCAGGGGTTCTGGGTTCCGAGTCGACACCTCCCGGGCCGGTCCTGAGTGACCCCGACTCTGCCCAGGTCCTCAAGTCTCTGAACAAGACCTACCAGAACCTGAAGAGGAAGCCAGTCGCGGTGGACCTGGACCCCAAGGCCGTCACCTGCGACGAGCTGTTCGGCATCATCAACCCGGCGACCAGGGAATGGAAAGACGGTACCGCAGACCGCGGCTCCGGGGCGGGCTGCGTGGGGGCCCGGGGCCCCCAGCGGGGTCCCCAGCGGGCGGGGCGGGCCGCTCGCGGG